CTACCTTGAGTTGTTCTACAAATGCTGTACATATCTAAAATAAATTGGACTCTAAAGGCCCCACATACTCAGGCGTACTTCGCTCCGGAGGTCCGCGCAGAATTGAGGCAAACTCAGTGCGAACCCGAAGCAGACGTCCGCCGGACTGGTCCGCGCAGAGATCAATTTTTTACACCCGCGACCGCGGTGTCGCACAATAAACTGCCTGGCAAGTACTCTTTTGGATGCAACACCAAGCTGATAAAAGTTGAGAATCGGAGTGATTTGTGGATGAAATGGAGTCAAATTTTGAAGAGCGTCTCATGGAGGAGATTAGAAAACTTTYRGATACATCAAAGAAGGAACATAAGGYCTTTCAACGAGCAACAAATTTGTGGGAAGAAATAGCTCAGATCCTGGGTAAGGTAGTTCTTTTCTTTTTTCTTTTGTTGTTTTAAAGCTAAAATGCAAACTGTCTCTTCCTCCTCGTCCTTGACACCATGACTGAAATTGRGAGAAAATAAAGAATTTGTCAGGCGGTCAGTACGCCCYAGTATGAACTCTCTAACATCTGCAGACAATATGAGCGGAGTCTCACGGCTCACGAACCGCACACAGTACGGCCTCAGGATGTGGGAGCCTTTAACACCTTGAAATTGGCCTGTCTTTTTAAGAACCTCCTACCGTTTCTGACACTCCCACTTCAGCACGTCTTCACAACAATGCTTTGGGGGAGGGGTGCTCTATGGGGCCGAAGTTTGGCTGCGGACTGAGCTACGGGGAGGAGCTTTGTACAAATAGGCGGAGCTTTGTACCAGCAAGTGTTTAAGCAGCTCCACATGACTTCCACAYGAGATTCAAGGATTTCTCAAACATGCATGAATGAGTCAAAGCTCTGGTATGTTTTGGATGAGGGAATGACTTTATAACATGACCTAAATCTCAAAAATATCAATTTAATCCCACTTTAAAAAGAGGAATTTGCCTTTGCTGCTATATGGTAAAACCATGTTACCACAGTATGTCATATGATACACTTTTTAAAAATCACTGCAACTTAAAAAGAAAAGCACCATTATTTTGGCTATCAAACATAAAGATAAAGAAAATTAAAATTAACACATTTCCTATACACCATCAGGTTACATTGGATGTCTTTGGACGGCCACATTGACAAACAGGAAACAAAAGCCTCCAAGTTGTTGCAGAGACCAAAGTGAATTGTGCTGTCCTAAAACATTTCCAGTTTTAAACTGAAAAAAGGATCTGAGACGCGGCTGCATCGACAGAATCTATTTTGCACCAGGAACAAGTCCGACCTTGAACCGGAGAAAGCTAACAGCAAACCTTTCTTTGAACATTTGATATTTTTTTATGATTTATTATGATCAGTGTTATGAACTTTGCAAATGATAACATTGTTTGTATTTACATTTTAAACTGTCCCTTTGTTTCTTCTTAACWAGGATTGGATTTAAACAAATTGAGCTTAAATGGTGAAAAGAAGTATTCCAGTTTTCCTATAGTAGATGTACAGAAAAAAATCTAAAGTATTCAGTACTTTCTATTATAATGTCTTTTCAGCTGGTCTTACTAAAGGGAGCTGATGTTTAAGATCCAAATGGGTTTCATTCAAAACATCCTGCAGAAACCATATGCAAATGGTCTCGATGAGGTCAAAAGGCAACGTGGGCAAAACTGGAAGRCAGAAAATGTCACAATATTTAAACGTTTGACATCTGAAACCACCACTGAGCTTCCGGGGCTCTTTTACTGTCTGCAGAGATTGAGCAGTTTAAAAATAATCCTCCCCCTGTCAAACGTCACTCAAGCTCAAGCGCAAACACGAGATATCATCCAGCTTAGCTTTCCTSCCATTTCAGAAAAGACAGAGAGCTTCGTGGAAATCTGCGTATTAATCGCAAGCTGTTCGTTTTGAGGGACTACAGCTGAAATTAGGCAGCCTTTAAGGGCTGAAGGCTGCTGCTCCTACACCTTCAGTGGGTTTGGGAGTCAGAGAGTGACGTGGGGTGAAGCAGAGTGCAGACCGGGCTGACAAGAACAAGTCCAGATCATTAAATTTCATCTCAACAGTTTATCTGAAGCTTCTAATGAATCTGACCTTCTATGAATACCCTCAATTATAGCAAGTGATCCGTTTAATAAAGTCTTCAATCATAGTCACAAATCTTGAAGTGACAGTCATAAAAGTCACCCGTTTACAGAAAAAACTGAGATAATCTGTCATTATTGTGAAAGTAGATGTAAACAGTTCTTTCTAATTGGTTGTGTTTTGGTTTAACTGATTACCCAGGACACAGCTCGTGTTTTAAAAAAGGATTTATAAAAGGTTATGAACATGTCACAACTCTGGGTGTTTATCAGAAAGGCAACGCTGACAGTTTGTTTTCATTCTAATCTGGCTTTTAGAAAAACTCTGAGCGGTTTGGGACATTAGAGATGTGTTATWTCAGAGGGAAACTAATTCGGACACAGAGATTTTAGGAAAGACTGGAGTCGAACGGGATGAGCGACACCACCATCAGTTTAAACACGCTTCGGTTAGATTGGTGCAAACAGAGCATCGAGCTTCCTGACATGTCGTAAAGTCTTTAAATAAAGCAGGAGGAGTGGCGGCGCTGAACTCGTTACCTTGCTTCAGAATATCCTTGGGAAAGGAAGACAAAAATATACATAAAGAGTAGATGCCATGTCTGTAAAATTAGCAATTTGCTTTTATCTGAAATCAAAGAGATTCCTACAAATCTCTAAAAGGCCACCTTTTGTTTATTTAATAATGCATCACATTGGGACCAAAGCAGGCTTTTCCAGCAAAATGCAGACTCTTGTTTTGAACAAATTTAATTAGACTTATTTTTAAGATACTTGCTGCGATGTTGAAGTTAATTTGTATTTAGTAAAGTACAGTCCTTGATGAGTTATTCCCTGCGGTTGAAAGGCCCAGATTGTATTTTGAACCAGCATAAAATCCTTGAATTAAAGAAAACTCAAGGGCCTTTCACTTTCCAGAGATTGTTGAAGGCTGGATATTTTGAGATTAGAATAGCGCTCTCTGTTTAAAAAGATGACAGCATTTTGTACTTCCACTCCTTAAAATAAAGGAATGTATAAAGAACTGAATTCAGGGTCTTTTAGTGTTTTTTGTCCTACATTAAATGCATTTCAAGATAATTATAGTTTTTACATTGTGTACAGAGAACAAACACGATCTACTTCAGCTTCAACAACAAAGCAATAAAAATAATAATAATTTCTGATTCGTCAAACTAAAAAGAAAATATTTTCTATTTTGCTGGAGTTCATTTAAACAAAAGAAAAGCCCTGAAAGAAGATGACTGGGTTTTATTCACATTTGGTTTGATGTTTTGAAAAACCTTTTGCTAAAACATATTTGAACAAAAAAATAAATAAAATTCTGCACCTAATAATGTCTTTTTTATATATAAAGACAGAAAATCGATGATTTGCCTAACTTTGGTAAGTGGGGACAAGTTTGTGTTAATAAATAAATAAATAAAATGCATAAAGCAGTTTGTGATTTTTCTGGTAGATYAACCAGAGAAACAATCACAGATCTTTGCACCTTAAAGAGAACCCTGACTAGTTGTAACATTAGGCTTTATTTGATAAACATTTACTTCAACTGTAAAAACCAGACTGAAAAAATACTGTAACCTGGTTATTTTTAATAAATTAAAATAATAACTGTGATGTTGCCATGTTATTTAAATCACAAAGCATTCTAAGTAAATAATCAGGTTTACCACCAGCTCCAGTGTGAACTCTGTCCAGCTTGAAGGTWAAATTTTGACAACGTCCAACATCCAGCTCTTAAATGAAACCGGAGCATYTTAACAGAGGAGAATGTAGAAATGACCTCAGATTTAGCCTGTTAGCTTTCACGTTAGCTCCTGAGCTCATCCTTATGGTGGTGTAGTGTTAGCTCTGTAACTGCCTGATCTGTTCCAGAAGCACGATCCGTACCGTTTGTTTTTTGCATGTAGCATTTTGCTAGACTGATGACAGAATGGATTTGATTCCAGTCTTTTATCACCTGCAATGTTTCATAGAAAAGGCAACATTTGTAACAGATGTGGAGTTTTATTCCAGGAAAAAATAAAACGGAGATAAGATGAGTTAAAACATGATTGTCTAGAAAAATAGGTCAGTTTAGGTCCGCGAGGTAAAATAAATAAGTACACATCGTAAATCTATATTTTATTAATCAGAATGTATYTAATACAACAGTTTTCAAAATATAATTTAACACAGCTTTATAATTAAGTATGGAGACAATTATTTTCGGTATTTTTTTCCTAAATTGAGCGCATTAACTGATAATTCAGGTGTCATTTACCACATGCACAAATGAGCTGACGGTACAGATCGTGCTTCCAGAACACAAAACTAAACAGACTGCACTATTTTTARAGTCTTATTTTTATAGTTGAAGTACATGTTTATTAAATTATGTCTTATGTTACAAGTAGTTGGAGTTCCTTTTAAGAATCTAATTTGATTTTGAATCTTTGACTGTAATTTTAACTATGTCCTGTTGTGCCTGTCTATTGTACAGCACTGTGGTTGGCCTTGTGCTGTTTAAAGTGCTTTATAAATAAAAGTGGTYTGGTAAAATTTAAACCTTTTTTTGAACTTTTAGAATTATCTTACAAATGTTGTAGAAGCTTTTGACTAAATTCAGCCAAAGTAAAGTAAAAGTACTGAGGACATCTATCAGAAGAGGTATTTCAAGGATGTCAGATCTGAAAACACACGGAGTATTTTAGAGATTAAATATCTCATCTGATCTGGTGGAACCTCAGGAGTTGGGAGATGATGAATGATGGAGCTGCTTAACATTTTTTAACCATCATTTAATACCATAAAAATAAGAAAACGACTGGAAGGAGAAATGTTTTGATGGCAACAGTCAGATTTTTTTCCATCCACCATATTTAAGATAAACAACAACAATGGTAGGTGTTAATCTAATCTCCTACCTTTGGTGGAACAGCTTGTCCAGAGGGATATGGAGCCAGGCTTGGAGGCACATCTGTTATGTAGGTTTTCTTGGGCCCTGGAGGCTGGTATGCTTGGACTGGAACTGGATCTGGTCTCCTGGAAGTTCCTCCACCCACTTGTGGTCCTCCTGGAAGGTGCTGCTCTTGATGACCCATTGGGGTAAAGCCAGGCTGGGGTGGTCCATAAGCAAAACTGGGACCTTTCGGCTGGGCGGGCATGTAATGCACCTGTCCGGGGCTGCGAACTGGCTGTTGGCCAAAATGGTGCCCAGCAGGAGCTTGATGTTGGGGGGTGGGCTGGGCTGACCTCATCTGGACATTAAAGGTGGGCTGGCTCGGGGTGGATGCTGTGGTATAAGAAGCTGGAACCGGCTGAGGAGCCAAGGGGCCCTGAGGCTTAGGGACTGGGCTGACAGGGGGAGGTGATGCGGCAGTCGAGACTCCCGCCGGTGTTTGAAGTTTGGGAGTGGACTTCTTAGTAGCAGTTAGAGGTGGCTGGTTCGGAATGACCATCCGCTTGTAACCGGTCACGGGAGCGTTGGGGGTGGAGCCCGCTGACAATGCAACATTCTGAAAAAAAGAAAGCAGAAAGAAAAATCACCAGTTAAACATGACTAATGTAAAGAAGCTCAAGTCTTAACTGATCATCTTTTCTTAAAGGAACAACTGTAAGCAGACAGGTTTAAAAGAGAAAAAGACAAACCAAACACCAGCAATGATCAGCAAAAGGCACAAAACACTAAAGTGTGCTACTGAGGGCTGGGTGGACTGGTGGAACTGATTCAAGAGATGTTCTAGCACAGGGGTTTTTAACCTTTTTTGACATCAGGCCCAATTTGTTGAACATGAAGTGGCACGAGGCCCAGTCAGACATTACTAATGTACGGATCAAAATGATAATTCTATTCTAAATCTTGGTTTAATTTTTATTGTATTTACATTAGGGCTGCCACGATTAATC